GTCATTCCCTCCTCTCTCGGGACCCTTGCCTCCATCTCAATCATTCATCGAGCCTTTGTCTTGACTTACAAATGAACTCAAATATCCCATTTTTACTAAAGCCTCAATCTCTCGTTGTAGGGCTTTGCAGTTCTCTGTCGTATGCCCATGGTCCCGATGATAGTCGAAGTACTTGCTCATGTCTCGAGTATTAGGAGGGGATTGCATCCTTGGTGACCATTTAAAATCCTTCATGTCCTTGATCTCCATTAAAATGTTAGACCTTGAAGTGTTCAATCGGGTTGACGATGTCGGCTGTGTCTCATGCCTCTACTTGTTCTTGTTAGCTTCTGAACAAAGAATAAAATCGTGCTGCCTTTTATGCTCGGGTTTCTCAGAAGTCGGGTGAGAACTCCTCCTCGAGTTCAAAGTTTTCTCCATATTGATGTATTTTTCTGCTCGGGTATGTAGCTTGGTTATGGACATCGATGGTTTTTTTGGAGAGGGACATCTTGAAGGATCGCCCCTTATAGCATACGTGAGGGCGGAGATTGTTGCGGTTATTGGAAGGTCGGGTATCTGAAGCCTTTCCTTGTTGAATCTAGTCATGAAGTACGCAGGGATTCATTCAGTCCCTGCCTGAGCTGCATGAGAGATGCGGTAGCCTTCTTAATGCGCTTACTACTAGCAAAGAAAGTGGAGAACTTCTCGGCCAGGTCAGAGAATGAAGCGATGGAATTGGGCTCTAGGGTAGAAAACCAATCCTTAGCAGCGTTGGTCAGTGTTTGCGGAAAAGCTTTGCACATCACGGGATCTGGTGCCATCTGTAGATTCATGACTTCCGTATACACGTTGAGATGGTTAGTAGGGTCAGTTGTTCCATCATATTCCTTCATTCGGGGAAGTTTGAACCTGTCTGGGAGCGGATAGGAGAGCACTTCCGATGTGAATGGAGTGTTAGAAATAAACCCCGTCATACCTTGGGTGCTTTTTTGAAGTCCAGCGATGATTCCATCCTGTATGATCTTGGCTAGTTCTCCTGAGTCCATCCACCTCGAGGCTGCAACCACCGGAGGCACACCAGAGGCCCCGGATCCGCCATTGTTATGAGCCTCTCAAGTATCCCGAGCTATAGCATCGGCCATAAAACCTCCTTGTTGTCCAACTGTCGGTGCCGGCGGTTGTTCCAGCATAGGATGAGCATCCCTTTGGCTTAGTAATTGGGTTAAAATTGTCACTTGTTGACGAAGTTCTTCGAAGGAACCCGCATCAACCACCGGTGGTTGGGCATTTGGTACTGTAGATGATTCTTCTTGATTAGCTGGGGGCTCTGCAACTGGTGGTGGGTTTGGTACGGATGAACTTGCTAGAGGAAGACCTGAATGTGTGTTGACCATGGCTTTTGGTAGCGTTTCCCACAAACGGTGCCAATGATGCTACCAAAAATCGTACTTGTCGACTTCCGAGCTTGACGACTGAGAATGAGCACGAACGAGGTCTTCCGGTACCTGAAACAAAGGCGTCGAGGTGTGTTCTCGTCGCCCCTCCGATGCTTAAGTTAGAGAAAGAATTTATGAAAATAGTTTATGCGGTAAATTGTGTGTTAAAAACATACCTTGATCACGGATGAGAATGATGTATTTATAGAGGTAGGCGGAGAACTCCTAGTAGGACTACAATGTTGAGATACCTAGGAGTCCTAGTGCAACTGGAAGTTGTAATGTAGTTGGTTTTGTATTACCCATGTGTTAGGATTAGTATAGAATTTTGGTGGTAAAGTCCTTTTAGGATGAGGTATCACGATAATTGTAGGACATTCCTTTTTGAGGTAAGACCAGCCCTGACGTGGAGTAAAATCCTGAGACAGTGCTGGTTCCCGAGCCCAAGGAGGGCATAACCCCGAGGATGTCATGGGGGTTCTCATGAAATGGGCCCATTTCTCCTCGGGATCAGTGGTCGGGGTGGTCACCAATATTGCGAACATCAGCATCCATATCCAAATTCAGAGGAAAAAATTCACAATTATGCTAAAGAATTCTCATATGAAATGAATAATCAAGAGATTTTTAAATTTGCAAATAACAACAATTATGAATCAAAATACCACTTGAGTTTGGTGATTTGTGATCTTTTCTATTTCTACATCTACGAATTGAATCACTGCTCACGACTCAAATTCTTTTTTATCATCAACCAATCCTGTTCAAGACCAACTAACGTGATTTGTACATATAACAACAAAGGTTGCAATTACATCAGCATACCATCACTTGGTGGCTTAATCAAGGTAAACAATCTGTAAGCTACAAATGGAAACGTATGCTACACCCGGCCAAACATTAGCCTAATTATATCTAAACAAAGTGTTTAACAAAATCTGAATATTTTTCCATTGAATTGTGCAAAGAGGAAAATGAACTTTTTTTTTGGATAAGGTAAGTGTATAATATCCAAATTATGGAAGAAAATTACAAGATCACATGGGCAAACCCCAGAAAAACTAGGCTAGAAAATATGCTTCCTAGCAAAAAAACCCATGAGCGTTGGAACAATCTATTCTCATCAGATGGAACCAAGCCCCTACATAGATTCACTTGGGCACTAATAGAAAAAACAATGTCTCGAATAACAATAGACTCGTGTTTAGGAGCCTCACCATGAGTTCTAGCATTACGCTCACGCCAAATTGCATAAATTGAAGCTGCAAACATCAAATGAATAGCAATGGAGCGCACTGATCTCCCACGAAACTCCTCCATCCAAGAAAGAGTTTATGTCCAACTCTGTCGAACCCAAGGCATGTTACATTTAGCATGCATAGCATGCCAAACGCACTCAGAAAATGGGCAGGTAAAGAAGAGATGATCCAAATCCTCCACCGAACAACTACATTAACACATAATTCATAGACTGTAACAAACCAAAATGAAGAAACTTTAACTGTGTATAGAGGCCACCTTAGATTACTAGCCAAAGGATAAATGCATGATTGGGAATACACTTAGGGAACCATACAATGTGATTCCAGGTCACCCTAGGGCAGCAAAGTAGAAGAGACTCTCAAACACTTCGAAAAGAGAAGACTATGTGCACATTTTCACCCATCGCAAGACATCCTTCTAGTTCTATCCGACCAAAAAGTATCAAGCGTATCTTGCATCAAGTCAAACAATGCTGGGGAATGAGCTGATGGCCACCTCCAAGTATCACCCTCAACAAAATCTGCCATGTCTACTCAACTTAGAGTCATGGATGATCCTCTCACCAAAATTATTCTCTAAAGGGCCAAGAGGATGCCAATTATCAAACCAAAACGAAGCAATTCTACCATTACCAATTCTGAATTGCATTTTGTCCCTCCCTATACCCCGAAGTCCAAGAATCTTCCTCAAATTCCAAGAACAATCCCCAGCACACTTCAATTCCCAAATACTCCTACCTCTAAGTAACATCGTGCTCATGTAACCCAAAGAAATGAGGCAAAATCCATATAAAGGGACCAAAGGTACTTTAACACGGCAGCCTTATTCTAAATCTCCATGTTCTGCAGACCCAAACCACTCTCATCCTTAGGCATACAAATCTTTGACCAAGCCACTTTAGTACCACCGATGCCAAGGTTACAACCTTTCCACAAGTAAGCCCGTAAAGTTGCCTCAACTTGCTTGATCATAGCCTTAGGTAAAATAAATACCGAAGACCAATAGACCTCAATATAAAAAAACACAGACTCAATAAGTTATAACCTACCCGCATAGGAGAGCACGAGGCAAGTCTAACTTTTAGCCCTAGCTATAATACGATCAACAAACACCTTACAATCTAAAACTTGAGAGATAAGTCGAACATCACGATAACGTACCGGTAGCACGCCCTCTTTATACCCCAAACCATCAAGCAACTGATCCTTAAGATATGAAGAAACACCCTCGCAAATAAACTACTCTTATCTGGATTAGGAATAAGACTAGAAAATGCTTTGAAACGACTAAGGCACTCTCCAATGAGAGAAACATGCCCAATCTCAGCTCTACAAAAGACCATAAGATCATCAGCAAAACACAAGTGGGTGATCTTCTTTTTTTCACACCTCCAGTGGTATTTAAACTCCTATTCAGCTTCCATCAACCCCATTAAGACAAACAAATAAGGCGACAAAAGGATATCATTGTCTCAATCCTCTCCCATCAGCAAAGAAACTATGCAACTCTCCATTAATGGAAATCGAAAACCGAGTGGTAGTAACACACTCACCCTCTCAAAAAAGCCAATCACCTTTAAGACCGCAAAGAGAAAATCCCAACGAACAGAATCATAGGCTTTAATGAGATCAACCTTAAGAGTACATCTAGGCAATCCTTATCTGCGGTTATAATTCATCAACAACTCTTGGGAAAGAAGAATATTAACGCTAATATGTCTCCCTTTAACAAAAGCAATTTGTTGATGTCCAACAATGTCTGGAATCACCATCTTAACTCTATAGGAATAAGCTTAGCAACACATTTATAAATAGTATTGCAACAAGAGATAGGCCTAGAGTTTTTTAGGGACCAATGCAATGGCAGTAGCATTAACTTGTTTCAATAGACGCCCCAAGTCAAAGAAAGACTTGATGGCACATAAAACATTATTCTCCACAATACTCCAGGCCCCTTTGAAGAAACCTACATTAAAACCATTTCGCCTCGGAGCCTTGTTATCTTTCAAAGAGAACAAAACCTCCTTAACTTCCTCAAAGGACACATCTCTATCAAGGGTTCAGATATGCACCTCTAGAATACTCTTAGGAAGGGCTCTTCTAAGCAAGTCCACATCCAAACCCTCATCGCTAGGCTGTCGTCTAAGGAGATTTTAATAAAATTCAACAATAACTTTACTAACTTCTTAGGCTCCTCCATTGTAGTACCGTCATCTCTACAAATGGAAACCACCTTACTCTTACCATAGTGACTTTTCATAGCCTCAAAGAAGAAAGTAGAATTCTGATCCTCTAAATTCAGCTACTTAACACAGGCTTTTTATCTCAAAAAGCCCTCATCAGCCCTACTCAACTCACCAAATTCCTTTTGTAGCAGAGCCTCCTCACTGTGTAAAGATGAATCCAAAGGTGAATGCTGAATCAAATGTTGAACTTGCTCTAGATCAGTCCGAACTTGAGTAACTCTCCTAGATAGACATGAAAAATGCTCCTTATTAAAAACTTTCAAGGCAAGCTTCAACTTCGAACATAAACAAAACATAAGAGTTCCCACAACCACTTCACCCTAAATCTGAGACACCAAAGGGCAGAAATCCGAGTGATCCATCCAATAATCAAAGAAACGAAATGGAATCTTCCTACGTGGTAGCTCTGCAAGTTTCACAACCATTGGAGAATGATCTGATACACCAATAGTAAGAAAAGTAGTTTTCGATCTTGAAACTCACCCTCCCACTTCGAATTTACCAAGACACGATCTAGCTTCTTGAGAGTAGGATCATATACATGATTATTAGACCATGTATATAAAGAGCCATCAAACTTCAAATCATCCAAACCCACTATTACCATACAGTTCCAAAGATCATCTTGCCATGCAGGCCAAGAAGAAGAACCACCTTCCACCTCTGAAGGAGAGAGAACATAATTGAAATCCCCTATGACCATCCATGGCAAGTGTGCATACCCTTCATGCCTAGCTACTAAATCAGCCCATGGATCAACACGCTTAACTGGGATATCATTCCCATATACCACTGACACTATACAACTCCATTTACCATTACATGCATTAACACGAATATGGATAGCTTGAGCTGAGCAACTTACAATCAAAATATCCACATCATTTGGATTCCAACATACCGAAATTCTACTAAGCGGAGAAGAATTATAATTGGTAAGGACACTCCATGACTGGAAGATGGCACTCGTTACCTTGTTTTTATTCATCTTCTTAACTTTAGTTTCCACCAACCCACACAAAGAAAGCCTATAGGAAGAAATGAGGCTCTTTACTTCAGATCGTTTAAGGGGGTCATTTAGCCATCTGACATTCCAGCATCCAAAAAACATAAATAAGGTCAAGGAGAGAACCACAACCTCAATATGTCTATCGCCATCTGCCTCCCCTAGTGGAGTGAAGCTTATTGCCCTTCTTATGCTTGCCCCTCTACCCATTCTTCTTCTTATTCTGAAGTGAATCTATAGCTTTTGTTGCCAACGTGTTAGAATGATGAGTAGAAGAATCACTATCATTTTCATTCAGAATGGCAAGTGGAACTGGAGTCACTTCTCCTTCTTTTCCTAATTCAGTAGTCTCATTATGCACCATTTGTAATTCTAATGTAGAAGATACATCAGAATTCGAGGCCACTAGCTGCTTATCAAGATCACTATGCAAAGATCACTGATCAACCTCTCCTTGAACCTCCTTAGAATTATCAGCCAAAGTATGAATGCCATCTTCTTTAATAGGAACAGCAACACCAGTATCAACAACACTACATTTAGACTTCTTCGTGTGAGAGACATGGGTCCAATCATCATTGATATGTGGTTTCTCATTAGCTGCACCACTCGAGCCAGCCTTATCCTTGGAAACCCAAACCTTGCCAAGTTTTTCCTGATGCTTATTGTCACTAGGCTTAGTTTGAGATGAGCAAGAGTGGCCAAATATCCCTACATTCCTGAAATTTAATGGAGACCCATTCAAACTCATCACGAGTAGCTATCCAATCCCTATCCGCACAACTAAAATCAAAATCCTCTACTAACTCCTCCAAAGCATTAATCTCTAAACAAACATGCGCAAAGCTAAGACATTTACGTGTAAGAGTGATCGCATCTGCATAGAGAGGACGTCCCACAACACTAGCTACATGACTCAAACCCTCCGTTGTCCAGTACTCAAAAGGGATATTATAAAGCTTCTCCCAAACATGAATGTAATGTAGATTCTCCTTGTCCAGAGTCATATTAGGTTGTCAACGCTTCAGAATAAATGGCCTAGAAGCCATCTACCACGGCGCTCTTTCAATAACAAAAAGAGCTTGGCGAAGAGAATCGAACTTGAAAACATAGAAACCAGTATCTAAGGATAGAATATCCTTAAGGCCAAACCTATCCCACAATTTATGAGCAATGGAGTTCACAACTGGAAAAGCTAACTTCTTACCAACAAAGGAGCTGACCAAGGTCGTCTTCCACATTTCACAACCTGAAACTGCCACGTCTATAGGAGGAACCACCTTCACTCCACCATTATCATAAAAAGGCTTGATATAATTTAAGTCCAAAGAAAAAAAGGTTTCTAGGTCCAAGTCATTTGCTTGAGACCCATTTAATACCTTAACATAAGATCTTGGCCTCAGTTGTCCCAGTTTTGATGTCATTTCACCCTCATTTGGATGAATGTGGGTTGAATTATTCAATTGCAACACATTAACCATTACAGAATACAAAGCTGAGCAAGGAAAGTAGCATAAAGATCCAGAAAAGGGAATTGCGGACCATAAACTCTCTGTAGATCAAGCAAGTATTTGTCTTCACGAGTTTTGTAAACAAAAGACATTCAAGAACCATTAATCAGATACGCAACAAATAAACAATTAGCATCTATTTAATGATTTAATAGCAGTCGTATATTACTACTGATCTAAGATAAGCAACCATCAACTTCGTTTGTGAAAGAACTCAATTTTCAACATAACACTGCTTTCAAATCATGATTCTCATGTGCCAAACTGTTGAACTTTAGGATGCGGGTTAAAAATCTTATTGGCAACTATACTTTCGATGGTGTTTCTCAACATCCCTTTACTTTAAAATTTTCCCGTCAGTCACTTTACTTTCAACGCTATTCTCCTTCCGTCACTCGTTATCATTCCATTTGGAAATTAACGATTTCAAAAACGTGGCCAATGGAAACATTAATTTTCAAAGGATCCGTAGTGAAAAGTGGAAAGTGTGACTGCTGGAAAACAACTTTGAAAATACAATGACTATGCAAAAAAAAAAAATTTAAAGTTCAAAGTCCAAAGTTGAAAGTATGGTGGACTTTGAAACTTTTTACCTTTAAGGATTCACAAAGTATCTCTATAGAAAATATTACCATATGTTCTTTACCCTATTTTCGTGTGTATGGAAATGTACGATCATTGAGTAATAGAACTCGAAAATGCAGAAAGATGTGAAGCATATTCTTAGAGTGACATTTTTAACGTATCATGAGTTCTTGACTAATTTTATTCTCTTATTAATATACTTATACTCCTTATATGAATGTTATTCGAACACTTAAATGTTGCGCTTTGGCAGTTTTAATAAAGGGAATACTACTATTATGATTAAAAACATAGAATATATTATTAAGAGCTTGTCTAGGAAAGCTTTTTCTCTGATTTGTAGCTAAATTGTGACCGTTGCTTTTCATTGTCAACAGTACATTACAGTGGAATGTCAGACATGGCAACCGCAATTTTGGACCATTTTAATGTAGACTGACCTTTTTGCCCTTAACATTTAATTCATTTTTCATAATAGGCAGGCATTTTTGGTATTTCATTTTTAGAATGTCAAAAATTGCTGCCAAAATGGAACCCATGTTCAAGTGAGTAACAGTCAATTAATTATTAAAATTGGGGAAAAAGCTCTCCTAGACGACACTAAAAATGATTACCTGCACTTCAAACTTGACCACATTTTGTTGCCTGATAACACCATCATGCTCTATGATAGTAGGTTTGTCATCAAAGTAACCATTATCATGCATAGAATTGTTTAGCAGCCTTCATGATAACCAGGAAAGTCAGAAATCCTTCTGCATTTCATGTTATAATATTGGCCAATCTTTTTCTAGTAGACGTTCAATTCTCATAGAGCTTTAAGAACTTTGGTCATTATCTCACGAGGATGGGCTTGAGACTGCCAAAAAGGCCAAAATAGTAGAAATAATTATGACGACAACGATCTACATGAACCAAAAAAGGTCCAATTCTTCTATCAGATAAAAGAAAATAATGACAAGTAAAAATTAATTAAGCCAAAACCAACTAGCCTAGAGTCCAAGAGCCCATTTCTGATCAACTGAAATATGGGTCTTTCTCCAAACTGTTGAAGATCGTGCAAATTCAAGTAAGACTATAGATCACACGTAGGGAAACGACCAGTATCTAAAGCTAGGCAAGATGATAAGGCCTAATTTAGTAACCTGCTTGTCTTCACAAATATTAGAAATAAAATCCAGCTTTACTTATTAGCTTGAAATTGAAAGGCGTACCATAATCTCCTGAAATGCAGCTCCAAGGTAGCAGCTGGAAACAAGAAACCGGTTGTCTAACAACAAATAGTATGAAATAGTGAAATATGGTTAATACATAAACAAACTTGACCTATAAAGAAATACATACGATATTGATATGTCCAGCCGTAATTATTGAAACTCTCTTACTTAATAAGGAATGCTTCTCCATGGAAGAAAAAAACTTGAATTGAAACTCTCTTACTTAATGAGGAAGGCTTCTCCATACAAGAAGAAAACTTGAATTGAAACTCTTTTACTTAATGAGGAAGACTTCTCCATTAGATCGCAATACTTTCTTATAAATAGGGTGTTGGTCCTAGATAAAAACAAACTATAAACAAAGTAAATTGCAGAACAATAAGAACGGAAAGACAAACAATTCCGCGACCACTTCTAACGCCTAATTCCCTGTTGAGCGTCCATTAGGATATTGCTTGAATTCACTAGAACAGCCCAAAAAGGCAACAATAGAGTTACAGAAAGAACACAGAAGTTCATACTCAAAAGACAAACAACCCTCTCAAAGTACAATATGATCTCACTAAAAGATTGGTCTATTTTCTTTTTTTTTTTTTCTCAATATAAGGATTTCACTCAGAAATTTATAGATTATTCATACCAAAATATCGTAGACGAGAGAGAAATGAAGAACTAGGGTTTCTCACAAAGACCATTCATTTGCCCAAAGAGTCAACCATTCAATTTATAAGATACAGCCAAACAGTGTTGATCCAATGGTCATCTCGTTGCCAAGTGTCAGCCATCCAGCAAAATCGCCTTATTAATAAAAGGCAACAATTCTGTAACCTTCAATCAATTGGGCCGGGTAGGGTGAATTGGGCTACTATTTTCAATCTTGGACTCATAATTCTAGCACCCCAAACTTTACATAGAGGATGCATTTGCATATACTCAACCCATGGTAAAGATAGAAAAAGAGAGATTATAGATTTATGAGGTTTTGTTGAGAGTTTGTAAAACTCTATTGTAAATTCTATTCACGATAGAAATATAATTGTTTTTCCTTTTTTATCTTCTCTTTTCATGATCAGAGAATCACAACAAATGGTATTAAAGCCAGGTTTATCAATTGGCCCCCGTTGTTTTGATACAACTCTGATTTTTTATCAAACCTTTGCGAAGTCAAGATGACAATGAAATAATCTTCATTGGGAGCTATGATCAAGCTCACTGCCACCAATTACACACTGTGGAGGCCTTGGATGGAAGACCTACTCAGTTGTAAAGATTTGTATGACCCCCTGGAAGCCAAAGGTGTGAACCCTGATCTTACCAAGGAGGCGGAGTGGAGGAAGCTAAATAGAAAAACTATTGGTCAAATTCGACAATGAAGTGATCATAGTGTCTTTCACCATGTGGCACTAGAGATAGATGCATATGCCCTCTAGAAAACTCTGGAGGACAAGTACCAGGCCAAGACCGCTCGGAACAATGCCCTGTTGATGAGGTGTTTGGTGAATTTGAAGTTGAAGAGTGGAAATTTAGTTGTTGAGCACACCAGTGAATTTTAGAGCTTGGTGAATAAAGCCCTATTGTTTGATGAATATTCTAGATTCTGAACAAAATTCTTCAAACGGTGCAACATATTCTACACCTCGATCACTACGAATCGCCTTTATCCTTTTTTCCAAATTGATTCTAAACTACAGTTTTTTAGTGTTTGAACACTTTTAAATCTTCATCTTTACTTTTCAACATGTATACTAAGCGGTATCTTGTACAATCATCTATGAACGTGATGAAATACTTTTTACCACATTTTGTTTGGATATACTTTAAGTCACATATATTGGTGTTTATAAGTTCCAAAGGTGTTGTGCTACGTTCGACAGAATGAAATGGCACTTTGGCTAACTTAGCCTCTACACAAATTTCGCATTTTCCATTTGTATTAAATTGCATATTCGATAGTAAACTTAAATTCATTAGTTTGCGTATAGAATTAAAGTTTACATGTCCTAATTTATGATGCCATAAATTAGACGACTCAAGAATATAAGTAGAAGAAGATACAATAATCCTTGAGTTATTCGGTACAATGGTAAGGACATTCATTTTGAATAGTCCATCTTTTACATAGCTTTTGCCTACATACATATTATTTTTGGTAAGTATAAACTTATCTAATACAAAGACTAGTTTAAACCCATTTTTACTTAACAAAAAATCTGACGCTAAGTTCTTGCGAATATCTGGCACATGAAGAAAATTATTAAGGCTAAGTTCTTTACCCGATGTCATCTTCAAAATAACTTTGCCTTATCCTTCAACCTTTGAATTTGAAGAGTTTTCCATGATCAATTTCTTACCATCGGTTGGAGTGTAGGTTGAGAAAATTCATTTGTTGGCACAAATATGATGGTGGCACCCATATCCACCCACCATTCCATTGGATTTTCAACATTGTTGCATTCTGAAATAACGGTCGGCAAATTTATATCTAATATACCATTAGATATTGCATCAGATTCAGTGATATTGACTTAGGTTTTCTTCTTAGGTTTAAGACAATCAACAAATCGATATCCGGCCTTTCCACAATTATAGCAATCGCCCTTGTACTTCTTTGTATTCTTCTTGGATGATTCGATGGAATGTTTTCTTTTCTTGCTTTTGTTATAGGATTTCACCACATTAGCCTTAGTTTGTGGTATATCACTTTCAGCATGCTTGTCCAAATTTCGATTATCTTCTTCAATTCTCAACCGGACAATGAGTTTTTCAATATTCATTTCCTCGTGCTTATGTTTGAGATAATTTTTGAAATCTTTCCACATGGGTAGAAGTTTCTCGATAATTGTAGTCACTTGAAGTGATTCACTTAGAGACATTCTCAGTGTGAATGTCATGGAGTATAACCTGCAATTCTTAAACTTGACTGATGACCATTCTACAATCTACCATTTTGTAGTTTAAGAATTTCCCCACAATGAACTTCTTAGTTCTGGAGTCTTCAGTCTTGTATTTCTTTTCCAAGTATTTCCATAGTTCATTTGCATATTTCATGGAATTATACACATTATATTATGTGTTGTCCAATCCTTTCAAAATATAGTTTTTGTATAAAAA